TGATTCTATATATATGTATGTATGTATGTATATAGAATCATTTACTATTTACTTTGATACATAGAGAGTATATGATTCTATATAGATATATATAAATATCTATATATATAGATATGTATTTATATATATATACACGCATATATATGCATATATTTATGTACACACACCAACATATAAATGTTCATATAGATGTAAATATACATTCATATGCGTATAAATATATGTGCACACACACTTATATATATATATATGCATTAATATATACATACATATATGTATATATGTATAAATATATTTTTATGTATTAATAAATAAATATATATATCTATATATACTTTTATATATATATATATATGTGTGTGTGTATGTAAAAGATATATATATATATATATTATACATATGTGCTATATGCTCTGCTTTACATTAAAACTACAAAATTATATTCCAGATTTATTGTATTTTTCTGGTCGTATGTGTTTCGCATGTATTCGCAGCTAAAATTGTTGTAGTTTCCGAACACATCTTGTACCTATATTATGATATACTGTACTTTCGTCACATTTGTAAACATTCACATATTCTGTTTTGTGATCCAAGGTTGCGATTAATACGCCGTTTGCCACTGTTTTATATTGTCTTTTAACGCTCTAATCTGTCCATGGCCTTTTGCTTTTAACAGTATTGTGGAGAACGGTGAAGCGGATTGCACGAAATTGATCGAGGCTCATTTGGAATGCATGCGGTCACATGGCTTTAACATCTAAGTCCTCATTATATTCCGAAAAAGTCAGTAATGGAGTTCTTGAATGGAATTTATCATATTTAATTGCCATGTCTCCAGAAACTCTATTTAGAGACAATGTATCGTATTCATCATGTTGGACGGTAGAGGCCCGAGGCAACCACAGGGAGCCAGCAATGGAATCAACCATTTGTAGATATAATATTGTATCACATGAGTATACTATATATATAAACTAATCCACCCAGATCCGCACTCCAAATATCAGCTATGCATGGGTCCCAGGAATGATGGCCATACTCCATAGGCATAGTCCTGTGACCTGTCTCTGGTCCCTAGTCGCTACACTAAATATGTAAATACTCTACAAAGTCTCTAATCGACATCGGATTACTCTCGAGTTGAAGACTTGAAGAGTTATCACAGACTCTACACGCTTGAGTAGCAATACTCAAGCTAATAGTATCTAGAGATTATACTAGAGACTCTACTCTAGAGAGACTGAGAGAGAGGAAATGTCAAATGAGGAATCAGAATAGAGTGAGAGAGGATGCTTTTTAAAACTCGAAGAGTATTTTTTAAATTGACTAGTTGTTTGTGAATATGGATGACTTATGTACTTATGTGCATTTATTTTCATTAAAAAATAACATCATGTAGGAATATATACGTATTTTTAATGGAAAACTGTTCTATTTTCGGAAGACTATGAAAATTTTGAAAAACCAACAATATGAAAAAACTTCAGGCGGAAATGTTAGATACATAATTTTTAAAATATGTTGTCAGTTGTGTTTGTGAGTTGTGTCATCATGACAGACTGTGAGTCAGTGTGAGAGTGACGTGAGTGAGTCTAAAAAAAACAAAACAAACTATTCTTGTGATATAAAAAAAATGAAACGTATTTCTTTATTTAAAAAAAGGGGTTTGATCTTGTCGTTTATTTGTTTGTTTTTTATTATAATTAAAAAAGAACATTAAAAATGATTGATTTTAGGAAATATGTTTGCTGTAAATACATCGTCTGTGCGGCTCTGCCTCCTAAAGACCTTCACTCGAAAGTCCTAAATTAAAACAAACACAAATGAAACAAAACTAGGTATTTTGTTAGAAAGAGTAAAAAACAAAATATGTAGAGTTTGTTGTTTATGTGTTTTAGAATTTAGAAGTTAGAAGTTATACTTTTTTTACAAGCCCTCAAACAATAAAAAAGAATCTAAAAGAATTTGTGCTAAATATTCCATAGTCTCCTTGTTCTTTTTAGGAGGTTATGGCTATTCAGCTATTTTGGTGAAATTGAAAAGTATTTATAAAAAAACCAAAAGTTTACAACCCTCTATTTTTTAATATTTAGTATTTAGTAGCGGTGTCTATAAAATATATATTTTAAAATTTGGGCATATTTATAAAATACATACTCCGACAATTTATTTAAAAAACCCCCCCATCACGAAAAGTACATAATTACTTTATTTTCAAAATATAACGAACGGAGTTTGGGCCTGGGCCCGGGGGACTGGCCGGCTGGGGGCCCTGATCAGTAAATAAGTAAAACTGAATACAATGAGTATTTATAGAAAATAAATAAAAAGGGGGGGTTTTGTTTTTGCAAATTTGAAAAAAAAAAAGTATTTATTGCCTTTGGACATCATTTCAAATTCAAGGCCTATGCAAATTGCAAAAACTAAAAAAGCGTGCAAAATATTCAGTTATATTTAAGTGTGACAAATCGCAGGAGCAGGGCTGCAGGAGTCCAGGACGCAGGGCTATTTAACAGTTCACGCTTCACAAGAAGAGTTCACAGATTGAGATTACATATATATGTCTGTAGTCATTTTGATTTTAGACAATAGGGTTTAGGCAGTTAGACACTGTCAGGTTTTTCTCTTTTTTTAAAAAATAAATATATACAAAGGCAATCACATTTTAAATATCACAGCCTCAATTCACACTCAAGTCATTAAGTCACAGTCTCACAGACTCACAGCCCAGCTAAGCGCTCGGCCCCACGGCCCACGGCCCGACACCCAACACTCACAACCACAGGCCCACAGCCCACACAGCCCACAGTTACTTCACACCTCATCATGTACATAGAGAACGACAACCTTTCTGTACTCTCTCTACTACTAGTAGAGATAGGGTAGAGTAGTAGAGTAGAGTACTAAAGAGAGACTAGTAAAAAGTTACAAAGATAGCCTGTTAGAACTTCTTGGGAGCTCACTCTTGCTGTCTTCGACTCTTCTTGCGGGAGTTGCGGCTGCTATTTGGCGTTATTTAAACGCGAGGTATCAGAGGATTTTCAGATTCAGCACAGGAATGTTAATATTTACTCCAAACTCCTGTAGATAAAGTGATAATTATAAAGGTTTATATTTGTCTAGGACATAGACTCATACTCATAGAGTCACAAGAATGCAAAACATAAGTCGTTATGACTTTTTTAAAATATGAGGTTAAGAGACTGTCAGACGTCTGTCAGTCTCATTCTCATAGTCTCGTAAGTAGTATGTACATAGTGAGTCGAATATTGAACCCCCTCCCACTACACCACGGCCCACGCCCAGCGGCCCACCCCTGGCCCTGGTCCCTGGTCCCCTCCCCTCCAGTATTTATTTATTTACTACTAGTAGCCAGTAGAGCAGGCACTTCTTTTGCCAGTCCTGAGATGAGGATCCAGTTAACTATTCGGCGACTGATACTGGGATTTTCGTTCCTGTGAGACAAACCTTACATACATATTTTGAAATCTCAATATTATACATACAAATGTTGAAAGTCTAGCAAAATACAGTTCAGTATTCAGAGCCCTACGAATTCCGTTTTGTGTTCAAAAGGTAAAGCGAGTCATGGGGATCCAACAATTATTGAACAGAGCTTTGGGCAGGTCACGGCGTGAAAATGCTCACATCAAGTCGAACTTCAATCGGGTATTAATACTTGCCGCGATCCTCTACGAACTTTCCGGAGCTTGCCCGGGTCCACAGCTTTCCAGCGCAAAGGATTCCAAACTCTCTAGACCTAAGGCACACATGAAGCCAGCAGAAATACTAATTCACAAACAGCTTTCGACTTCACATGAGGAAGTACCAATTCAAAACAAAGAGGACGTGCAGATGTCACCCCGATTCGAAAACATCAACGGAATATCACGCTTACAGGGGAACACCAGAAACCCAAGAACGACGGATACCCCCGGAATTCCTTCTCCAGTTGTGGGTCACAGAATGAATAGCTCTTCATTACATCCTGACACCAATACAGGGGACGGCGACATACTCTCCCCATCACCGTCCCCATTACCTAGGTCCGGTCTCACGCACTCAGGATTAATTCCATTTACCGCCAAAACCGGCAGGCCACTACGGGGATGCACTTCTATGCCTAAAAACCCTAGATCGAACAGAAGATTGCAATATAAGAAAGTCAATCAATCGAACTTAAAGAAGCATGCGAGTACTAATTCTTTACATCACTGTAGAGCTCAGGCGGCACATTATCATACAGCTCTTCAAGCACACATTGAATATCGGGTCAAATTTGATAATACGATTCAAATATACGAAGTTGACAGTAACGAGGCATATGATCGGCGACCGGCTATAGCAGATGGTGAAGTAAAGCTATCTTCAATGGAAGTATATCGCGATCTCATGCGATATAAACTTACTGAAATGCTCGTTCATGAAAAATCTATACATAACACAAGTTGCCATACAACAAATATTGCTGAACATAAATACCAATTGAAGGTGAGTGTGATTCAAACAATATTAGTTGAGAGCACCAGAACTGAATGGTGTTAATTACAGTCTGTACATAAATCTACAACACCATAAATAAACAAAATATGTCGACTATCTCCGTGCATATATATTTATATATATATATATATACA